TCCATCGAGTTTATGGTCAAGTAGCTGTGTGCCGCGGTGTTACCCGCGGTTTATTAGGGATATTTTTCAGTAAAACGTAGCCTATGTATTATTCCATGATGGCAGCTAACTCCATACCAAATTTAATTGATATCGCTCCAGCCGTTTAGACTTGAAGAAGTAACAAACATACACACACACACACACAAACTTTCGCCTTTATATTAGTGTGATATCAAGCAATGTGTTGTCAAATTTAAGAAGGAGTCAGAATAACGCAGAAGCCTGGCATCAAAGATTGAATATGCTAATTAATAAACAAATACAAGGACTGTTGGTCACAATAACATTTTTGATCAGAGAGCAGATGCATTGGGCATTCGATGTTTGAAAACATCGATTAAATAAAATTAACTAAATTAAATTAACTTTTGATCTATTGACATAACAGGCTGTTGATACATCGATTATTTTTAATTAGTCAAATCGCATTTCGTAATATTGGGTTTTCGGTTTATTGTTATCGAACAACTAGCATTCGATATGGCGTAGAAAAAAAAACCAATTTGCCTACATTTGATGTTTGAATGAAACTCACTTTACTTGCCACCGCTTATCTATAGAAATATAATTATTATTTTCTCTCAGTCACGCCGATTCCATCTATATTTTTTTAGAGGTTATCCGATATTTTGCAAAAGATTAATATTTAAAAATAAATAAGAAAATTGCAAAAAAACTCAAGTTAACGGGGGCGATCGCTGGCGGAAGCTAGTTTATAGTAATATTTAAAACTGTCACTTATATAAGATGTACATATTGTCATTTACATTTGCCATAAAAACAGGGCAGTGAGATACCGTTATGTTTACACAGGATTTAATACATTTGCACATTGATACCCGCCCCCAAGTTTCCTTTGAGTATAAAGGACCATACATCTATAAAGTGAGACAGGTACATATTTAAAATTACAATGTACAATATACAGGTACAATGACTGGTATTTTTACGTCTAAAAGCCTTCGCTTTGTACGCCGCTGTATTTAAATGTTAAGAGGCGTAGTAACGGTATCATTTTATCGATGTTTTGAATTAATTTAGTCTAATAAATTATCTGGTTTAAGTAACGCAGTCTTGTTTCACGTAAACATAAGGTTGAGTTAACAGTAATAACACTGCCTGATTTAGGGGAGGGCAACCGGGGCGAAAGCCCCGGGGCCTCCACAAACGGGGGGCCCCCACAATAGACTTCGGAAAAAAAATCTTTCAAATTCCAACTAGTAAACATCTTTTCGGTTCCGTTCGTGAACTCTTTAATTTCAGATAATTCTTGTTTCCGTTTTTATTTATAAGTGTTTGTTCAATACTAAGGGAATCTACAACTTGGTTCACAATAAATTATTTATTGAAAAACTGGACTGAAAAAAAGTTATTTACTTTATTTGGAAAATAATTTGGAGCGAGGGGGCCTCCGCTCCTCTGTTGCCCCGAGGCCTCTGGACCTCTAAATCCGGCCCTGAGTAATACAAGTCATAATGTAAAATTCATAAAAGCAATTTCAAGTTCAGATTAACATGAAAAGATGGTAAAGAGTAAGCAGCTATTTGATAAGTTGATTATCATAAAATAGTTTACTTACATAGGGTAAGCGTGCATACAGAGGATGGACCTCCAATTCAAGATGACGATTAATTAAGGTTTGTACGAGCAGTACATTACGTATTTTGTATTTAACCTAATTATTTTGATGACCGTGCGCAACTGCGTAGCGCGCCTCAATATTTAGAAATATTATTATTTTAGTGCAATAAACATATTCAATACGAACGGTCTACATTTTTTACATACCTTCGTCTGAACAGTTGCATTCCCGAAACATTAAACATTCATATTTGGGTACGAGCCCCAATAAGGTTAATTGAGCCTGACATTATTTATCTTCTTACAACAAATAAAAGTATATGTATAAAATTGATTCCCGCAGAATAATTTAATTTACTAAAATCTAATTCTTAGATTTTATTAATACCAATAAATATTAATAGTATCATTGCAGACTGTGACATGATATTTAAAATAGTTAATTAGATGATTCTACAGTAGTAGAATAAGTTATATTTCTATCATATTTCTCGCTCTAGATCGTTGTGCGAAGTGTAAGGTGAAATTTTAATTTATTCATGACAAACAGTTCAAGGAACTAAACAAAGGAACCATTAAAAACAAGCCACGGCGCACGTTTAGAACGACGGGAGCCGACCTACGTCAGCTGACACGACACCCGAGAGTAATAAGCGAATATTAACAATGTGATATCACAAATACGCCTCAACGGCGAAGCAACCCAATCCTCTGTCTTATTGCGATAAGTTAAGCACTATAGCCCACGCATAACCAGGTAGCATCGAGTTAACAGTATTAACATGCGGGTTTCTAGTGCGGTTCTATATTATAAAGCGGAAATAATCGACGTCGATACGGTTCGTTTGCTATGGAATTTGGAGTTTTCATCATTAGTGAGGTGGTGCAAAAATAAATATAAATATATCAATTTGCATGGATACGTAAGTACATCTATATTTTCAATGACAGTCTTACTTACAATGGACACCGTGAAGCATAAAATAATCAATCTACCAGAAAAACAAACGTCAGCATTTCCTAGAGGAAACTCTAACGCGTAAAACAATCAACTGTTTTGGTAGGCGACGAAAGGTTGACACGAGGTCGAGTGTAACAATAAATATACGTGGATGCTGGCAACGCATTTTCACTTAGAAGTTAATCGGTGAAACGAGTGGTTGTCGATAGTGAATACGTGGCGCGTCACTAGCGCGACCCCACTCGCTCGGCGCGGTCCCCTTCGAGCCGTCCTCGCTCGTCAGTGTATCTCGGATCGCGCAACAAAGCGTTTCACTTTGCAGCCGAGTCATCATGAGGCTCGCGGCGCTTTTTGCGCTGTCTGCGTTCGCGTTAGCGCAGGAATTATCACCCGTTGACCACCTGCGGAGTAAGTTCTATGCTCTCGAGGAGGACTTGTGGAGAAATGTATCGGACCCTATGTGGCGGGAATCCGGTATCGGTGGGGACGTGGAGTTGACAAAGGCGTTCGTCGTCTTGGACGAGCAAATCGAGAAAGCGCCGCGGTCTCCTCGGCCTCCACTGAAATCCTGGCTGTGGATGAAAGCATTCGAGAAGCTACAGATAATCGATGGACTGTACGAGAACTTCGTTCAGTTTGTGAAAAGGCAAGCGGTGCCCGGAGCGGTGCCGGCACCCGTCAAGGAGTGGTTGGATTTGGCAGAGAGTGTGCTGATGGACCCAAAGACCTCGACAGCGCAGGCAGTTAGAAAACTGCACGAGTGGCTGCAGCACGGGGACTTGTTCCGGACTATATTACAGGTATGCGGTCTCCGGATGTGCGCGATTAATTCCGGGCACCGTACGTTGAAGGTTCCCCTTATTTTATTAATGAAAACTCCGCCGACAGTGGTATCGATTGGCAATAACGCCAACCAGGCAGCGTGGCTAGCCGTGTTTGGCAACCGCAACGAACCACTGACCTGCTGTTTATGTTAGGACGACTGTTGTGTATGCTCCGATTTGCAATAACAAAACCATTTTCGGGAGGAGACAAGACTGTTAAGTTTATTATAGTTTATATGCTACGTGATTCATGATTTAGCCGATCGTAATAAGCATTAAAGAAGATAAAAAGCACAAAATTTGGGTTTATATAAGCATTCATTCTAAATATATATAAAATTAGTATAGATATTCAATAGGTTTGTCACGTTAGTAATTTGAAGAACGTTCTAACAAAGAAAAATAAAATATCGCTGTAGCTATGACACGCATTGCAGACAACCGCAGATTTTTCATACACAACTTTTTGATGAGCCTAATAACTTTAATTGATGTCACTTCATATCGGGGTGGCAAGAGGTCAAATAGTCAAATTAACGAAAACAGAACAAAGCATTGTCAAGCTCCATTGTTGTACAATTTTTAAAAAACCATTAAATTAATTAAGTGTAAATAACAATAAAACTCGTGCTACTTAAACAGCAATGACAGCGCGTCATTACCCGGAAAGAACAGATGCAGCATAATTACGTTGTGGTTCATTTAATTACGAATCAATACAGTTAAGACGACGTAAATGAAAGTAAAACTTTTATCTATATACCGTATTTACCTTTAAGTGAAATTATTTTGCCAGCAAAAAAGTACGACAAAAAGCGGAATAAACCTACAATTAACATGAACATTATTATTACACATTTTTTGATTTTTTAGTCGTAAATAATCAGATTTACCTCCAATCTATCTATAAAAAAGGAGTGTTCGCTTTCGCTCTTTGTACGCAATCCGAATCATCATCAGCCTATTAATGTCCCTACTGCTGGGGCACAGGCCTTTCCTATGGATGTAAGATGTACGCAATCCGAATAAACAATAATAATTTAAATACGACAAACGAGTACAAGTAAACAAAGCAAATCATACAACTTAAAATATTACAAAGAACCATACATTATTTGCACCTTATAAAAAATATATAATAGTGTCATTAAACAATTTTTAACCAACAGATTTCTTATAATTTAATTGAAAAAGCTATTTTTGAAACGCCAAAGTCTCGAGATTATGAATCCCTCAAATTGACCAGAAAGGTGCAACCTAATTTCGAGGAACTCGCGAATTTTCACAGCTGTGAAAGTGTGTCAACTGAATAAACGGAACCTTGTTTTTTTGCCAAAACAATGAACTCAAATAATATTGTTGTAATAATAAAAAAATAAACTTTGGAAAATCGCAAAGACCAATACCGAACAATTAGCCTAACTACTTTTACGAAATACAAAAGTAATAAAATAAATTATGATTTAGAAACAAATGTGGTCATCAGACGCATGAACAATCGCCCTCATCGGGATTGTAACCAAGCTACTTAAGAGCAGAAGCTCCGTTGTTGCACTAAATGGTACTAACTTTATTTTAATATAAATTTCCAGGAAGAACACCCAGACTTGTGCGAGTTGCAGTTGTCGCCGCACCAGCTAATATATGACACATACAACACCATATCACTGACTGAGATCAAAGGATACGCCATGATGCAGTTCTCTTGGATGCTGCTCAGGATTTATGGCAAAGGTAAATTCATTTCTAAAAACCTTGATCACTGCGAATCGAATTAACATTGTGATCAGAAGCTTAAGCTACTAGGTATGTTGATATTTGAGGAGCTTGCGAACAAAACTGTATAATTACGCATCTGGTCAAACTGCATTTTATTTATAGTCCAGAGGTTTTGGGTCCGTTGAATTTTAATCTCAAATAATTTTCAATCAAAACCGCCTTAAACAGTGTTAAAATTACTAAATTTATAAACTAAAAACCATGCCAATAAGCTTTTATTTATTTTTTATTTGACACACCGATAACAATATCATTATTATTATATAAAAAGAAAAACAAATGGGTATTACAAGTCTATGTGAATCATTTTTTAGGGTGCATACAGCAATTTCCATGCATTTTTTGGCACAATATTAGTCTCTAAAGTTATTCATGTAGATATATATATGAGGTAACTTATCTCTTGTTACTAAAATATTTTCGATTCAGTAACAAACACCTATAGTATTTGTTACTCAATCGAAAATATTTTCTTTTTCAATGCTGAGAAAGATAGGTATAAAGCTCACTGTATGTATGTCATTCAGTTTTATACAGCTCCTGTGAAATTTAATCTTACGTAATTATACCTTTTTGTTCGCCAGCTCCTCACTTATTAAGTACTCAGACAAGATTTAGTATTTCAACAAAAATCAAACTATTTTTGTATTTCGATGTCAACACAACAAGAATCGCGTGATGTTTATATATCAGTTCCGCTAAATCTTTGTCGCTTGTTATAATATTTAATAATGCCACTTTTAGCTGGTACAGTGCAACTCTGTTCAGATCCACATATATAGTTATAACAATAATACAACATAGCTCAAACAGTGAATCACTGGCACAACAATTGGATCACGTCCCTACCAAACGTCTTATTATTGATAATGCAATGTCATTACAATGTTTTTTGTTTACGTATTGCTCCAGCACAGATATTATAAAACATCCGCATTAATGTTTTGGTATTTAACAAAAAATATTTGGATTCAAATAAGTCCAGAGTTTAGTAAGATACTTTTATATTGAATCAACTTAACTATTAAGAAGCAATAGGTTCATATTTTTTCACAGTCAGGGCCACCATAGCCTAATGACTCTTGCGATATAAAAAAATATCACTTACACCGTTGGCTAGTCAGACCCAATGGAGCCCTGGATATGAAGTATTTGTGTTCTGTGAACACTTGCAATTGTTTGTTAGCCCTGAACTGAAATATATGGTTAAAAAGTGAATCACCCAATTAAAGTGCAGAAGCATAGTGTCTCATTTGTCACTCATAGTCAAAATAATAAAAAATAACTTTACATCCAATAACTTCAAAGCAAAGCTTTCATCTAAACTTGCGAACTAATAAAATCCGTACATGATGGAGTCATGACATAAATAACGTTATCAGATTTGCTTTAAAAACAACTTATGATCCTATATGCGTATTAAGTAAACTGATTAATGGAAATGTTATTAATTCGATAACGTTAATAAGTTAAATCGTCTACAAAGGTTAGGGAAAACGTTTATCAAGACCCAAGAAACGTTCTAGTAATTATCAAAATAGATTACAGATCTCAACGATAACCGTTTCTGTAAAATTGCAATTTTTTTTTAAATCGTCATGGCAATCCCAATGGCTCTATCGCAAATCATGAACGACGGTTGAGAAATGGCGCACTTGGCTGGTTTTACACAATCATGTGTAATAATTCGTCATCCGTGCATATAAACATTTACAGACTCTAGTCACTGTCAAAGTCAACATTATATGATTGTCATTGTTAAAAAGAAAGTGCCTGAAATGATTTTTTTATACTTTCTACAATTTACCTTTGGATACATTGTGTGTGACGAGTGTGACGATGACGTAAGTAGTTACTGCGTTCGGTCTGTGGTAGTGGAAGTTAAGCAACTTTCGAAATGGCCGGTTATAGGATGGGTGACCCGAAATAAATTGCCTCGTGCTCCTCCGTGCTTCGGAAGGCAAGTTAAGCCATCGAGCTCGGCTGCATCAAGTTAGCTCGCACCAAATCGCGCGCGTTGGGTCATGGTCCTATTGGACCCCAATTGGACCATGTTGGTCCCAATGCCATCTGTGTGAAGAGCTCTGTTTTTGCCCCAGCATTAGCGGCGTTAATAGGCTTATGATGATGACAACATTGTGCGAGTATATTGTTTCAGGCAACTTCACCCAGGAGGCCAGTCTCACGAGGCAGCGGTACAGCGAGCGGACCGCGCAGACGGCCGCAGCCGCCCGGGCCGCCCTGTCCGTGGCCAAGCGTGACTTGCACCGCTGTGACCCACCGCAGCATAAAGAAGGTTTTTATGATTCCATAGTCAACAAAGAACTCTTACAGTTCCACCATACCCGTCCGTCTTTTCGCAGAGTAACTCCGAGGTGTTAAGTGTTCAGTGTGTGATAGTGGAAGTAAAGTAACTTGCACGGTAGCCCCGCTCAGGATGGGTAAAAAAAATATTGTCGATTTATACATACTTTTGGCACGTAAAGTCGTAAGTGCCAGGTATATCTACAGTCCTTTGCACCAACCAATTCTGAGAAATATCAGCCTGGGAATGTCACTAACATAGATTCATAATGTTAATTTTCCTTTGGAAATAAAATGTTCCTGTGTTTTGGGAATGTTCCAGGTGAGACGTACGCGGAGGTGACCAGATTCCTGCAGGGCTACGTGGAGAACGAAGTGGACATGAACTCTGATGGGACTTGCCGCGACAACTGCGCCTACTATTCGGTCGCGGAACGTTACGGTTGCTTCAAGGACATGTATTGCTCCAAACAGAGGGTCTGCAATGGGCGGATACTCAACTGCCAGTACATAGACTCGGATATGTGGATATGCCCTGCGGTGAGTGATCCTATGTATACAATCTAATTTAATGTTCAAAGGGAACATAATAGACAATATCTATTCTGGTTTATATCTGAGGTTGAATAAAAAGGATCGCATTGCGGATACCTGTGTTCAACAACTACATACTTTTGTGTCCGAAAAAATATTTACTAGAAAACAAATCACCTCGATCCAGGTGTCAGACAAGATAGAGTATTTTTTTTCAATTCGAGCTGTTACAAGCGCTCATGAAATGTCGTTTATCCTCAATCACTTAAATTGCAAACGTATCGTACGTAAATCGTTTATCAATCATCTTAAATAAAAAGTGATAATTCTGATTATGACCCAAATATTACAGAAAAGGGACAGTAACCGTCGGTACGAGTGGATTGAGTACGAAAACGGACGGACATTTGGCAAAGCCTCCACCTGCACGCTCGGCACAACCAAGGTGAGAGCAATTTACTAATCAACGCTTGAATGTATACACTTAATGCCGCGATCGGCAAATATTGGCTCCAGCGTTGGCACAAACCATCCGCGTATCACTCCAAAGCGAGTTTATCTATGTCACAGTCACTTTTATCTATCAGCTTGACCTGACTTTTATTAACGACAGTACAGTATAAATATAAAAATAACTGACAATCGCATTCAAGTAACTGCTTAGTTTTTACAATGGTGATCTGAGTTAAGCCAGTTTCCAGGTGGATTCTTGGTGGAGGTGGTTGTTCTGGCACTGCTCATACTGCATGTGCCTCTGCGACGAAGCTGACGAAAACTCCGATCGCTATTTCAGCCTTTGGCCTTCGACCTCCGACGTCAAAAACAACAAGTTAGTCCCTATTAATTTAGGGGCACCCGCACAAACAATGTACTACTGTATCTACACTTCTCTATTTTACTACACAGAAAAATACACTAATAACATGTTTTCCTTCTAAGGTTGACTCCTGGTGGAGGTGGAATCTCCTTCACTGTTCGTACTGCTTATGTCTGTGTGAAGACGATGCCTCGATGTCTGAACGCTTCTTCAGTATGAGAGAAACATTAGCAGACGTTGACAAGAACAAGTCAGTACTGAGAAAGGGTTTAAAGGGGCTCTTAAATTACTGGGGAGCGGTACATAAATCAATAAGCAAGGAATCATTTTTATTATTTCGGTCATCACTAACAGCATGGGTGTGCGGGTGTCCAAAATACATTGTGGTTGATAGAGGAATCTCTATGGTATTTTTACGCTTCTTTCTCATTGGTTATTAATTTATATTCAGGGTAGTGACTGGCCTACGTCTAGTGAAGTTAGGACGAGTGTTCCATCTTCAAATAAGCGAAGGTACTCTAGGCGAGCGAGGAGCGGTGACGCCCGGAGACTGGATGCCAGTACAGCAGTTTGATCCTGACGACGCGGGAACGACGCTCGGCACCGATTACCACAAGCTTACGTACGAGCGGAGAGCGATGGATTTGGACGAATTGGATTCGCCGGCGGGACACGTCTTGACCGGAGTCCGGTACGAATTTTATTGATATTCAATATTTTTATCAATAGTCAGCACATTAATTCTAATAGCATGCTTAATGATTGATTGCAAACGTGAAAAACATTAACTTTATAATATTAGATACTATTGCCATAAAACAATAGAAGTAACATACATCCAAGGGATCAAATTGATTATAAAATATGGGTGTGTTTCATGTTACAGGTTCAGACTGCTGGGTGCCCATTTACATTTCGAGATACGATCGACGCCGTTCAACTACGCCACCGGGCGACTGTCGCCGGAGAGGAGTCAATGGATCAGCAACGATAATACAGACGGCACTGATATACCGCGGTTAGTATAGCTAGTAATATGTGGTATAGCTAGAGTTGCCAGATTTACTTATCAATTCCGGGACATTTGCACCCCCCCTTTCTAAAATATAAAGCATCAAATCAAACCCCCCCATCACCCCCAGAATTAAAACAACTATCAGGCCAGCGGTGTCATTGGTTTTTTTTGTTACGAAACTAGCACATTATCGGAATCCGGGACAATATGGCTAATTACTGGACACGGGACAAGCCGCAAGCCTAGGTTAAGCACACAATGCTCTATTCTTTAATTGTACTTCAATCGGTATGGATCTAAGCTTAGCTATTTCTTACTTAACGATCACAACCATTAGCATAAAAAGAATGTTGTTTAGGCTTGATCAATTAGGAAGTAGTGTACATATTTGCTTGGCACGCACACTTGCTTGGCATATATAAATTATAAAGCAAACTGGTTTTACGTACAAATACTAATTTCATTGACTCATAGAGATGCTGTACCCGAGGTACATACTTAGTGCGTGATGTAATTATGTTTACATGCTATGTAATGTTGTAAAATCAAGCATCGTGCTAGTTTACTCGAAGCAATGATTACGAGCTCAATCATACCCTATATTTATTACTCTATAAGTATTTTATATCCATTCGCGTCGGCGAATAAATAATAAGTTCTGTTCGTAAGCTACTGTTGCATCTGTACACACTTTTGATTTAACCACTACACTATTCAAAAGAGTTATATCATATTTCTTATCTTAATTAAAATGTTGTTGACTGCTAGCTTGTACTTCATACATCTGCACAGTTATAACATGCTTTTAATTAATAAAGATATAGCAGTTATATAAAACCACTTTGCTTTCCTGTTTGGTCGCATTTATCTACTAAATATCGAAATGAGTGTTGTTGAATATATTTATTAACCGTTAAATTAAACAAATAAAATAAATTAACACATATATTCGATAAATATTTTCAACCATATCGAATAAAACTGTTCATTCAATTCATGTTGATTTTAATGTGAGAGTATTTATTAATTATTTTATATAAATATAAACAACTGATAAACTTACCGTAATGAATAATTTCAATCACAGATCGAACTACTAAAAATATTGACAATAAATCAACTTGTGAAAAATATTCAGATTGTATTTGAAAAAAAATATTAACTGTGATATTTTCAACCATTAAAATTATCTGATATTTTTATTCAACTAAGTATTAACTTATAATGTTTTTCAACCATTATCGCCACCTATAATCGAAATCCTTCCCCCATAGGACGTGTGGGGGAAATTGATGTGAACTTCTAAAATATCTCATAATAATTATATTTTAATTTATTAAATTCAATGTCAGTAAAAGTAGACGATTTGATGCCCAAGCTGCAAATTCTCAGAAGATCGTTTTTGACCTAATTGACCTTGTTTGCTTTTTTGCTCCATTCAGACGGCAACTGCAGTTGCACCGACCGGACGTACCGAACCGCAGCAACACGCCGCTGCCGGTAGACTCGGAGCATGACCAGTACCTGGAGTTCACGCACACAGACTTCGAGGCGGACGCCGCACAGAGCGCCGTGCCCTTCATCGACATACAGCCAGTATCGCCCATGAAAGGTACTACTTAATCCGAATCCTAACTGTCATCGTCAGCCTATTAATGTCCCCACTGCTGGGGCACAGGCCTTCCCTATGGAAGGAAAAGGGAGGTTGGAACTTGATCTACCACGCGGACCCTAGTCGGTGCCAACGGCTTAACGTGCCTTCCGAAGCACGGAGGAACTCGAGATAGAAGATTTTCGGTCACCCATCCAAGGACCGACCATTGCGAAAGTTGCTTAACTTCAAAGAAAGCAGCCGAACGCGCTAACCACCATAACGCCTGACCGTTGGGGTGGTAAATAAGCATATGACCCGCCTGATGGCAAGCGGCCACCATAGCTTATAGACGCTTACGACATAAAAAATATGCCGCGTTGGTGCCTACTCTAACCCAATCCTTAACCCCGAGGAGCTCGAGAACCTTACTCGCCTACAGAAACATAACTCCACCAGAGGTTACTTCCCAAGACGGGTGCTCCAGTACGAGCTGGAAAACCGCCCTACATGTTAAATTCACGAGGGTGAATATACACACATCAAAAGTGTCTAGGGATCAAGCATTTTTATGCGGATTTCTTGAGATTGAGATGTGGCTTTGTAATAAATTTATGATTTTATAAATTTATATGGATCCTTTTTGGTGCATTTCATAATTTGAATCAGGAACTGTGAATCAAATTCGAGTAAAAGATGTAAATCAGCTGTCAATATTTTCCCTATAAAAACATACAACGCATTGAAGACATTATTAGTGCTACTGTTTCCCTACTACTGATTAAAACCAACGTTATTATGGAGCGGCGACGTCATTTAAGCAGGGAAGAAATGCTCAGAGCCGTGGGAATGATAGAAGCTGGTTCCCGGCAACGTACTGTGGCTTTAGCTCTGAATACAAGTCAGAGTGTTATCAGTCGACTTTGGACACGATACCGAAGCACTGGTACCGTGGCTGAGCGCCATGGAGGACGGTATCGCTGCACCACACGGAGACAAGACCGATACATTCAAATCTTAACTCGAAGAGCTCCAACAATAACCGCCATGATGTTAGCCGTGAGGCTTCATCACTCTTCAGGGAACTTAATTAGCGACCAAACAGTCAGAAACCGCTTGCATGAAGTGAACCTTCATTCCCGAAGACCGCTACGGGTACCACCTATAGCAATGCACAATCGTAGGATTCGATATCAATGGGCTCTTGAACACAGAAATTGGGCAGAAGAACAATGGCGTTTCGTGTGCTTTTCTGATGAGTCTCGTTTTGGTATGAGACCGGATACAAGACGTATACGACACTGGAGAACCCCTGGACGCCAACAGCGGTTAAAATCCTGCCAGGAAGTCCATCCTTATAGTGGTGGAACCATCATGGTATGGGCGGGTATTTGGATCGGCGGAAGAACTGAGTTGATTTGGATCAGAGGCAACCTCAACGCTCAAATTTATGCTGAGACGATTGTATCAGACGTCATCGTTCCTCTACAAGTGCAAATCGGTCCCTTATTTCAGTTAATGCATGATAATGCACGACCGCACACCGCAAGAGTTGTAAGACAGACTCTCGCCGCAGCTAACATCAATGTCCTGCCCTGGCCTGCTCAGTCGCCAGACTTGAACCCGATTGAGCATGCATGGGATATGCTACAGAGAAGAGCTCTGCCGAATATGGAGGGTATCCAGTCGCAAGAAGACCTTTTTTTGTTGTTGCAACGAACATGGGCGGCCATTCCACAGCGTGATTTGGATGAACTCATTTTGAGTATGCCAAACCGATGTTCTTGTGTTGTTAGTGTTCGCGGTAGAAATACGGATTATTAATTGTTTAAGTTACCCAATAAAATTTTAGAGAAAACTGTTATTTCAGTCTTTTTTTCGAACTTTTGTGTTAGTGGTTCAAATGTCAAAAATCCCTTTATTAGGAAAATGGCAAATTTCTTTATTAATGCAAAGGTGACTTGGTTTATCGTTACTGTGACAAACGAAAACACTTTATTTGATGAATCCTTAAAGAAAATTTTAATTAATATCAATCAGGAGAAAAGTTATTGCAAAAATATATGTTGATCCCTAGACACTTTTGATGTGTGTATGTTGGTTTATTATATAGAAATTAACAGTTGTACAACACTTGAATCGAAGGAATGCGGATAATTAAACTGCTAATTGAAAAATATTCTTAATCCATTAATGATATATATTGTATTTAAAAATTATATGCATTGTAATTGAGTGACTAGTAAAGAAATTGTCAGTCCAATTATGATTTTAAAATTTTATTGGCTTTAATATGAATTGAATTCGGAAAACAATTGACGATGGGTAGATTTACAACAACGCTGCGCCTATCCCTATCAATGCAAAATAAATGTTTCTATGAACATACTAAGAAACTGGCACATATGCCATAAAGAGATAATTTTCATAAATAGAGAAGCGAAAATAAGATAAAGAAATTAAGCGATTTGAATAATTTGTTTGCTCGTAGGTGGTGGTTTGTTAAGCGGCGCGGGCATAATTCACCGCGGCGTGAAGGGGTCGGGCGGGTTCATTGCGGTGAAGTTATTCACGTACAACTACTCCGCTCACATAAAGGCCGAGCCGCCCGCCAGCGAATTCGACAACGACGACGCGGACGCCACAGAATTCACGCCCGTCATCAATTAGCGACATCTCCATACATACAGCGAGAAGAATCTTTATTAATGTGAGTGGCAGGTCAAGGAGGGCGCCACTGTCTACGTAAATGACTTACAAAACGTGACGTTTACAAGGACGGCGGCGTTAGTTTCAATTTTCACCACATTCGTAAAGGTCCTTGTTGCCCTATACTCATTTTTTTATAACTGTAACTCAGTAGTTATAATGTGTCATTTTTTATAAGTAAACTTTTAAAATTTAGGCCGAATGCCATTTTCGATTACGAATAGACTGTAATGTTGTTTAATTTTGTAAATATATAAGTAAGGCATGTGCTGCTACTTGGCGTTTTATTTCCTACACCCTTTCTAGTAGTTGTTTCGTTGTATAAATCTTTGGAATAGTAGTTTTTATTGATTTCTTAACCAAATGCGATGTAAAAAGGGAATACCACTTTTGAAAGTAGCAAGTAGTAGAAGTAGTAATACAACATAAATAATTCAGATACTGAATTAGTATAGGTCTGTTGGAAAAGTCAGTGGGGGAGACAATCATTATATTTTAGTAACTTGTTATGCGAATGCGTTACTAAATTGCACTTTTTAATTTTAACCTCTTAACAGGTCCGTCTTTAATAATAATATAAAGCACAATAGGAAATGGAAACTTCATATGCCGCCTTGCACATTATTGTAGAAAAGTTAGTCCTTCAAGCAGATAAGTTAGTACAAGAGAGAAAGAAGTCATCGTTTTTTTTAAATTATAGTTCCGACAAATGACTCCGCCCCACCTGATGTTAAGTGACGGTGCAGTCAAGTCCAATGTAAACTCGAATTACCTTCTTAGGGACTGTAGGATAAAATTGCCAATACCAGAAACAGAAACTGTTCATTCAATATTAGTCTTTACCGGCACTTATTGACGTAAAAATACAATTTTCAAATGATACTCAAATGGTATGGTTTACAATGTCGGTAAATAAAAAATTATAATACTTGTTCATATAACAGCAAGTGCATTACTAGTCCAGAGAAAATCTTATTATTCACGTTATTTTGCCATATAGTCGTCCACTTTGTAATAAGTCACACTCATAAAAACTCTAAGGGCTCCATAGCTAAAAAGAAATTATGACTGAATTTTGCATTTATATTTTCTTAACTAATCTATTTCTCAAGAACGTGTGGAGGTACTCGTATCAAGTAGAGCTTAATATAAGATCAGATGGATTGCAACAGTGAAAAAATCAAACATCAAAGAAATTACATACGACCGGTTATGTTAACTGTATGCCGCATAAATTGCCTCTAGCAACATAAATTAAAACCTGATGTTTATAAGTGTACTCGCTGACCTAAAATTATAAAATTTGACAAGCAAGAAGCAATACAAAACAAAATAATAATACAAAAGAGATAATTTTGTATGTTATACAATTGATATAAAGTTCATTATGCTATGCACAATTTGGTTGCAGACATTCACTTTAATTTTATTCACGACGCAACGGAATAAATTGAGCATATAAGATACCAGTATAAGGGCAAGGATGCTATGTATAATACCAATATACACCCCGGCGAACTTCTTGAGCAACGACCATAGACAAGGAAGCCTGCACAATAGCAAATTTACATACAACTGCGCAAATCTATTGATCTGTGGTTTTGCTCAAGAAGTTTGCCGCTACCTGTATCAAATTAATTGCGAATTCCAATCGTGGAATTTTTCACGCTGTAAAAAGTTTTTGGCCCTTCGAGTAGACATAGCAAATACATTCAGAGGGAATGTGAGAAAGCCTAAGACTCGCCTGCACTCGTAGCGGACGCACGGCAAGTAATGCGAGTAGATCGGAAGGCGGTTACACATCAACGGCGCGGACACCCAACGAGCGAACGGTCGCGCATAAGAACTTAGTCATGCTTTGGATTAAACCCGTATCAAATCCATCGATTTCAAATGCGAATTCACATCCTGTTTTTCTTACACCCGATAATAATGGTCCCTTGAGCAAATACATTCAATATGAGAAAGAGACGGGCTCCCCGGCACATGTAGCGGGTGCACGGCGAGTAATACGAGTAGATTGAAAGGCGGTTACACATCAACGGCGCGCATCCCCAGCGAGAGGACGGCCGTAAATAAGAACATAGTCATGCTTTGGATTAAACCCGTATCAAATCCATCGATTTCAAACGCATATTCATATAATGTTTTTCTTTCACCCGAATATAATTGGTCCTTCGAGCAGATACTTTCAACATGAGAAAAAGGCACTTATATAACACTTATAGCGGGTGCACGGCGAGTAATACGATAGAGAGAAGATTGGAAGCACACATCAACGGCGCGCACACCCATCGAGCGGACGGCCGCGCATAAGAACGTAGTCACGCTTTGGATTAAACCCGTATCACATCAATGATTTCAATAGGGTATTTGATAAGTTTTAGAAAACGATGTCACATTATTTACTAATGTCTATAGAGTCCATATTTGATATTCTTCATTCTGTCGTTTATTTCAGTAAAAAAAACTAAATCAAAAATTATATTTTTAAGTTGTCGCGAAAACGTTTTTCTGAACATTACGGCGTGTCACTAGTATGTGAAATTACACGAATGTCATTAAAACGTCAAACGATATAATTTCACTTAGACCGGAAGTTTACTACCGTGTGAAGTTTTCTTTCACGTGACCATAAAACAAAAATAAAATAAAATTTTATTTAATGATTTTTTCGATAAGTTATGAATTATATTACCCTAGTATCCAATAACTCAAGCCTAAAGTTCTTAATTTGGGGTTACGCTAATCGGTGTGAGGAAATATTTATTTATTTACTGTCTCAGAATAGTAAAATCGCTTCTTAAATACATATTAAATAAAATTCACATCCTGTTTTTCTTTCAACCTAAAAAAATAATTGGTCCTTCGAGCAGATACATTCAATATGAGAAAGAGAGACTCACCTGCACTCGCAGAGGGTGCACGGCGAGTAAAGCGAGTAGATCGGGCGGCGGTAACACGTCAGCGGCGCGCACACCCATCGAGCGGACGGCCGCACACAAGAACGCAGCCAAGTACCGGTGCAGGGGGAAGTGGAACGACGCGTGCATCACCTCCGTCTGTACACAAACGTTTAATTATTAATGGATGCAATCTCATCATCATCAGCCTATTAATGTCCCTACTGCTGGGGCACAGGTCTTCTCCTATGATAGGAATAGGGCGATTGGGCCATGACCCACCACGCTGGCCCACTGCGGATTGGTGGGTGCTAACGATTGCAGATGCAGCCGGTACCAACGGCTTAACGTGCCTTACGAAGCACGCAGGAACACGAGATTGTAAATTTTTGGTGACCCATCCAAAAATCGACCACTGCGAAAGTTACTTAACTTCAACAATCACAGCCGAAGGCGCTTACCACTTGCGCCATCGAGCTCCTCAATCAATGCGAAAGCACACGCCTTATTACAAAAATTAGACTAAAGTTAAACATGAACTAAAACTGATGCTGTCATCTTTGTTCGCAAAAAAGGAGACAGAAACAACATTAGTTTTAAACCAAGACTAACTTTAGTTTGCGTTTTGGAATGAGGCGTTTGTAGGTTGAAAGGGTTAGGTAACCTATATGGTCGATGTCGTCATATAACGACACGTGGGTATACGTTCTTTTTTTTTAGATAGGTCCGACAAATGACTCCACCCGCCTTAATGCTATATTACGGTGGAGTCCAGACGCGAAGATAGTTGGTATAGCTGTTCTACCCGCCACACCAATCATCCTCACCCTGCCGGCCAGCATGTTGCTTCTTCGCGACTCTATTTAAGGATCCCTGGTAGTAAGAAGGATAGAACACGTGAGCGGGCAGAGCATTCCATTTGCGGATAGTGTGACAAAGAAATGTATACCTTCTGGAATAGTAGCCACAGTTAGTCGATGACAACGTAGGCCAGCGCGCGTGGTCCTCCAGAAGAAAGGGGAAGTTGGAATAAGGGTTCATTTTTGCTAATACTATAGATGCTTCATCGATTAAAAACCGAAAATCAAATTACTAAATGACGCTCATCTAAATGTGCCTTTTTGTGCTTCGAGCCACTCCTGCAGGTAGGTGAGGGCGGGGCGATGTCGTCATATAACGACACGAGGGTCACGTACCCGGGGCATGTGCGGGGCGGTGAAGTGTACGGCGTCGAGCCACTCCTGCAGGTAGGTGAGGGCGGGGCGATGTCGTCATATAACGACACGAGGGTCACGTACCCGGGGCATGTGCGGGGCGGTGAAGTGTACGGCGTCGAGCCACTCCTGCAGGTAGGTGAGGGCGGGGCGATGTCGTCATATAACGACACGAGGGTCACGTACCCGGGGCATGTGCGGGGCGGTGAAGTGTACGGCGTCGAGCCACTCCTGCAGGTAGGTGAGGGCGGGGCGATGTCGTCATATAACGACACGAGGGTCACGTACCCGGGGCATGTGCGGGGCGGTGAAGTGTACGGCGTCGAGCCACTCCTGCAGGTAGGTGAGGGCGGGGCGATGTCGTCATATAACGACACGAGGGTCACGTACCCGGGGCATGTGCGGGGCGGTGAAGTGTACGGCGTCGAGCCACTCCTGCAGGTAGGTGAGGGCGGGGCGATGTCGTCATATAACGACACGAGGGTCACGTACCCGGGGCATGTGCGGGGCGGTGAAGTGTACGGCGTCGAGCCACTCCTGCAGGTAGGTGAGGGCGGGGCGATGTCGTCATATAACGACACGAGGGTCACGTACCCGGGGCATGTGCGGGGCGGTGAAGTGTACGGCGTCGAGCCACTCCTGCAGGTAGGTGAGGGAGGGGCGATGTCGTCATATAACGACACGAGGGTCACGTACCCGGGGCATGTGCGGGGCGGTGAAGTGTACGGCGTCGAGCCACTCCTGCAGGTAGGTGAGGGAGGGGCGATGTCGTCATATAACGACACGAGGGTCACGTACCCGGGGCATGTGCGGGGCGGTGAAGTGTACGGCGTCGAGCCACTCCTGCAGGTAGGTGAGGGCGGGGCGATGTCGTCATATAACGACACGAGGGTCACGTACCCGGGGCATGTGCGGGGCGGTGAAGTGTACGGCGTCGAGCCACTCCTGCAGGTAGGTGAGGGCGGGGCGATGTCGTCATATAACGACACGAGGGTCACGTACCCGGGGCATGTGCGGGGCGGTGAAGTGTACGGCGTCGAGCCACTCCTGCAGGTAGGTGAGGGCGGGGCGATGTCGTCATATAACGACACGAGGGTCACGTACCCGGGGCATGTGCGGGGCGGTGAAGTGTACGGCGTCGAGCCACTCCTGCAGGTAGGTGAGGGCGGGGCGATGTCGTCATATAACGACACGAGGGTCACGTACCCGGGGCATGTGCGGGGCGGTGAAGTGTACGGCGTCGAGCCACTCCTGCAGGTAGGTGAGGGCGGGGCGATGTCGTCATATAACGACACGAGGGTCACGTACCCGGGGCATGTGCGGGGCGGTGAAGTGTACGGCGTCGAGCCACTCCTGCAGGTAGGTGAGGGCGGGGCGATGTCGTCATATAACGACACGAGGGTCACGTACCCGGGGCATGTGCGGGGCGGTGAAGTGTACGGCGTCGAGCCACTCCTGCAGGTAGGTGAGGGCGGGGCGATGTCGTCATATAACGACACGAGGGTCACGTACCCGGGGCATGTGCGGGGCGGTGAAGTGTACGGCGTCGAGCCACTCCTGCAGGTAGGTGAGGGCGGGGCGATGTCGTCATATAACGACACGAGGGTCACGTACCCGGGGCATGTGCGGGGCGGTGAAGTGTACGGCGTCGAGCCACTCCTGCAGGTAGGTGAGGGCGGGGCGATGTCGTCATATAACGACACGAGGGTCACGTACCCGGGGCATGTGCGGGGCGGTGAAGTGTACGGCGTCGAGCCACTCCTGCAGGTAGGTGAGGGCGGGGCGATGTCGTCATATAACGACACGAGGGTCACGTACCCGGGGCATGTGCGGGGCGGTGAAGTGTACGGCGTCGAGCCACTCCTGCAGGTAGGTGAGGGCGGGGCGATGTCGTCATATAACGACACGAGGGTCACGTACCCGGGGCATGTGCGGGGCGGTGAAGTGTACGGCGTCGAGCCACTCCTGCAGGTAGGTGAGGGAGGGGCGATGTCGTCATATAACGACACGAGGGTCACGTACCCGGGGCATGTGCGGGGCGGTGAAGTGTACGGCGTCGAGCCACTCCTGCAGGTAGGTGAGGGCGGCGGCGATGATGCGGCGGGCCAGGGGCGCGTGGGAGGCGTCGGCCAGGTGACTCAGCACCGACCACATGGGGTAGGCGGCCGCTTCCAACTCGCAGGAGAACGCCGCGTAGTAGGAGGACGGCTCGAACTCGATGTGCCCGCCTGTTTCGCGCACGTTTACGTTCATGCCTGACGACAAAACAGACGATACTATATTGCTCATGCCTAATTTTTTTGTAAGAATATTTAAAAATTAGCAAAGTTTATATGTACAGACATATATTTGATATCTAAAAGAAAGAAGTGTTTATGTCTAAATGATCCCAAAAAAATCTTACTGCCTACTATTTTTTTTAATGCAGAGGTGAGTTTGTTTGTTAAGCCTTCCCGCCTAACCAACTAAATAGATTTGGATGAAATTTGGTACGCAAATAGTTTATGACCTGAATTGAGATATAGATACTTTTTATACCGGAGCCACTCTTTTCCATAAACAAATAATGGTAGTATTAAATGAAATAAAAATATTATTATTATTATTTGATTAAAACTCAGAAGAACCAGCCAGTACAAAATAAACATTAGGCGTTATTCTAAAATGATTCTCTAAACTTCATTTCATGATAGTATTCTTAAACAGGGGAAGAATGAAAAATAGGGAGTCGTGACAAATTTAGTTTCATCAAATTTTAACAGAATTACAATATATATATATATATATATACAATAGGATATTTGACAATTTAGAGAAAACTATTTCATGTTATTTACTAATGTTTATCGATGGTCCATTAAATGTTGATATTCATCATTCTGTTGTCTATTTCAGTAAAAAACTACATCCAACATAACAAAAGTACATTTTCAAGTTGCGCGAAAACGTTCCTCTGGATATTATGGCGTCTCACTGGTGTGTGACGTCCAACGACTGTCATAAAAACGTCAAACGATATAATGTAATGTCACTTTGAATGAAAGTTTACTAGCGTGTGACGTCGTATTAGTCGACATATTCGTCGTATTATAGAACAAAAAATCATATATATTTATTATTATATAATATTTGCTTACATCGATAGCAAAATAGGAATAGGCACAGCATAGCTGATTATAAGTCTAGCTAGCCATCGTTAAATATTTTTTAGAAAAGTCATCAATTATTATGTTTTCTCAGAATAGTAAAATCGCTGCTAATATTCTAATAAAATACAGATGTACTTCACTTTTCGTACTTTCAAGTAGCCTTTAAAATAGAAACATCAATAACATGTTACATGGGATAAGTGAATTTAATGACAAGATTTATAAAGTTAGGTAGGGGGACAGGTTGTATGGAAGCCAACGTGGAGAGTCACAAGGAAGCACTGCTGGGTTTTTAGTGGGTACCCCCCCCCCTCATCACATTTGGGGGGACGAGGAGTCCCACCAGACCCCTCTTTCCCAGTGGGCACTTTGGGCAAGTGTCCAGGGCACCGCGATCGATAGGGTCCCCTTCAGATCAAATACAAAGTCCCTAGTTCCTGATAGATCACCAAACGATAACCAATATTTATTACCAAAAAAACTTATATAATTCGATGAAATCGATCCTAAATGACTGACTACAATACCAACTTACTAGCTTTTACATAAGCGAAGCTATTCTACTCTCGCCCAAAAATTAGGCTTTCCGACTTCAGCATGCTTAGATAAATTATGGTATACTAAGCACATTTTAAAGAAAAAATATCAGTACTACACTCATCAGTCTGACTCGCTCCATTTCAAGTCATAATCCACATCAAAGTCATAGGGGCCCCATTATCCTAATATGCCCAGGGCCTCCAATAGGTTAAAGACGGCCCTGCACATAACCCCGTCTCTCACCCAGGGGCGGGGAGTGCGTCACGCATTTTCCTAACAATAAATAAAAAAACAAAAAGGTTGTATGGAAGTGACTCACCCTGCAGCATGGACAGGAACTCGAACCACATATCCACCAAGGCGTCGTCCTGCAGGAACAGCAGCGCCACGCTGCGGTGGGACAGCACGTTGTTGAAGTCCGACACTAGTGGCCAGTAGCAGTGCTCCTTCATCACGCGACGGGTGCAGTCGATCACGTAGTGGAAGTTCTGCTCGGGCTCGTGAAGTGTGTTCTGTAGGAAAAATTAACTTATTGTTATAAAGTAATATTATCTTTATTCAGTAACCAGTGATCCGCCCTCGCTTCGCTTCGGTGTGTAGCTGTAGTGTAGATTACAATTTTTGTTCTCGGGCTTGTATAACTTTCTTCATATAAATATAAACCTTGAGAATTATATATACTTACTAGCTGACAAAGCGAACTTCGTACCGCAATAAAAATAGGGGCTGGCGGTAGAAGGATGAAAATTTAGTGTTGCATGTATTTTTAATGCCACTTTTTTTGAAATAAAAATTTTAAAAAAATCTTAGGGCTGTGTAACTTAGTGTTCTATCAATTACCTGGGATAACATTCCTCCTAAATCATATGAGAACACTACGTTACAATACCCAATAGTTTGAATTTTGGAGTGAAACGCATTATAGGTTTCAGAACACTATGTTAATGGTGGACTACCCTTATCATTTAAGGGTATGAAAAATATATAGTAGCCGATTCTCATTCTCACAAAATATGCATATAAAATTTCATAAAAATTAGTCAAGCCGTTTCGGAGGAGTATGGTAACTAACATTTTAACACTAATATCATAAAGTTGAGGTTTATGAGTTTTTGAGCTTTATTGGTAAAAGCACATGCATGACGGCATTATTTCCCTTTAAAAATTCTATAAAATAGACCGCTTTAAGTTTGTCTCACGATCTTTAAGTTTGTCTCACTTTTCACACCTTTTCCCTCAAATTAACTCGGGTGAAACTATTTTCATCATCATCAGCCTATTAATATCCCCACTGCTGGGGCACAGGCCTTCCCTATGGATGGAATAGAGAGATTGGGCCATGACCCACTACGAGGGCCTAGTGTGGATTGGTGGGTGCTGACGACTGCAGATGCAGCCGGTACCAACGGCTTAACTTTCAATTTAATTGAATTTAAATTCATTTATTTCGAGTTAGAGTACCTGCACCAGGATCTTGCCCATCATGAGGCGCAGGCTGAGCACCATGACGTGCAGCAGGTGCAGGTGCTGCACGCAGCGCAGCGCGAGCGCCTCGTTGGAGAACAGCTGCACCGACATGTGCACCACGCGGTTGGACAGCGTGTCGGGGTCGGCCGCCGCCTCCAGCACCAGAGGAATGCGTGCGTAGTGCAGCACGAATGTGCGCGTCAAGTGCTCCTAAACACAAACATCATCATCATCAGCCTATTAATGTCCCCACTGCTGGGGCACAGGCCTTCCCTATGGATGGAATAGGGAGATTGGGCCATGACCCACCACGCGGGCCCAGTGCGGATTGGTGGGTGCTAACGACTGCAGATGCAGCCGGGACCAACGGCTTAACGTGCCTTCCGAAGCACGGAGGGACACGAGATAGTAAATTTTTGGTCACCCATCCAATGACCGACCACTGCGAAAGTTGCTTAACTTCAACGATCGCAGCCGAACGCGCTAACCACTTGCGCCATCGAGCTCCTCAACACACATAACATATACATATTTATTTATCAAGCAAAAACCGGCCAAGTGCGAGTCGGACTCGAGCACCGAGGGTTCCGTACAAACTCAATTTAATACCTCTCCGCGATCATGAGAAAAGAGGTAGTAACTTTAAAATTTTCTAAATTTTTTTTATTATATGATGTAACTAAAAATTTACGGAGCTCCGTGGGTCGTCCAATGTACCTTTTGGACAAGTTTCGGGCACGATTTTGTTCGTATTGGTGAATCTAGTGTATTTAATATCGTTGTTCTCATCAATCAAAGCGTCACACTAGGCCGTCGCTCATAGCAGCAAGGTCCGTCGACTCGAGACCAAGTGGTAAGTAAGGTCCCATGATGTATTCAGATACAAAGAAAAAAATCACTCTCTAAGCATTTAAAAATATATCTGTATATACGGTCGAAACGCTCCCAAAAACCATAAAATAATTGTAATTTTTATTTTTTAAGCATCTAACTGCTTGATGTTTAAATCTAAAGAAAATATAACTAGAAACATTTCGACGCGGCCATCAGGGCGCGGTAGTTATATAATGTATAATTAATGTTGTTGAGTAAGTACCTTATAGTCTTGGTCTGGCAGCATGTTCAGCAGGAAACAGACCACGTTTTGCGGGAACTCGTATTTGAACGTCCAGAATATGAACTCGTCGAGCAAAGTGTTGTGCTGCAGCCGCGGCGCGAGCGCTGGCAAATGGCGGTATCTGTAGGGACAAATTACACTGGTGAGTTTTTTATACGGCAATAAATTTAAATTCATATTATATAACGATATTACAAACAAAAATGCTTGGGTTTGAAATGTTCAAATCATTCCAACAGGTTTTCTATATTAAATAAATTATAATTGTATTGACGTTGTAACAACATAATGATTTGTAAATGTTGTTACATTTAGACTTTTAACGTTGTGGAGCTTTCTTCGCTCGTTTTTCTCCGTAGCTAAAAAAAAAATGGTTGCCTGTAAAGTCGGTTTTACGGGCGAAGATTTTACGTGACAACGTCTTTTTCTCGGTAGAATATTTATTGAGTCTCTCGTGTTAAGTTTAAGTTTACATGTACAATGTTTTAGTAAACAAAATATATTTCTATAGTTAAAATTTGTGCAATTCTTATTTTCATTCAATTCCTTGTTCCTATTGTGCAATTTAATTATATTCATATCAATAAATATTCTACCGAGAAAAAGACGTTGTCACGTAAAATCTTCGCCCGTAAAACCGACTTTACAGGCAACCATTTTTTTTGTACCCTTAGCACAGACCAATATCGATTTTTTTGATTTTCGAAATTTTGTATGGAAACTTGAACAGCAGTGCCATAACGGACGTTACGAGGAGGAGTTGACAGTGACATTTTGTACTCGCAAACGTTACGAATTCGATATTGGTTCGAGCTAAGGGTACTGAAGACGCAGCCTGAAAAGGACGGGAGACGTCAAAAAAGTAATAAAAAGACAATTTTTGAACCCGTTTATGCGAGTTTTATGTAGTGAGTGGTGTCCGTGAGCCACCTTTATTTTTATTTGGGAAACAAACAATATTTTATTAAATTTAAATTAATTTAATATAGAAAATAACATACATCAACAAAGTTTCCACTAACAATTAGTACAGTTATGAGCAGCTGTGTATTTATGTAAAAAAACATATAAATTAAATAAAATACGCCATTAATTGTATTGAAATAATAGTATTATATCCGTTACTCTAGTGTCCCATAACACAAGCCTACAACCTACAGCTAACTTTGGGGCTAGGCTAATTGGTGTGAGTGTTGGAAATATTTTTTTGTTTGACGTCGTAAATTGTAAGTTTTTGTCTAAAAAAGAAGGGATCGCCTTTGACTGAAATCATATGAAGTGTTCTCTGTTTTTGTGAATAGTCGTTTTTGGCGCAAGTGTTAATGTAACTTTGTACTAAATTTACGTACTCGTCAGGCGGTTCCGGCGCAGGGAAATTCTCGATGGCCTCTTCGTACATCTTGTTGGATTCCGCCATGTAACACCCGTACTCTGTCTCTGGGAACGGTGGCTCCACCAAGTTGCGGTACATCTGTTGATACATAGCACAATGTAACACATAAAACACTTGAGCCGTTTCTTAGAAGTATAACAAATGTATACGATATATCTAGATTTCTTATTTAAAAAAAAACACGAACCACACGTCACCTTAGTACGAGTTTGGGCTCAAGAAAACTGTCATAGTTTTCGTAATTGTAAATTATGTTTCTATGTCCATTTTGGTGAAAAGTAACCAAATATACTTAAAATTTAAGAAGGCACAAATGATTTAATGATAGAATTTAATCACTGTTTATTTGTATTGAAACGAAAACAATAAAATCAGTACCCTCAGTATGAGTGCGAGCTCACGAAAACTATCATAGTTTTCGTAATTGTAAAACTCGTACTAAGGGTACTGAAGTGAAACTTCTATTCTTAAATAACCTAACATTAGGCGGTGCATAAGGCATAGGGGAATGGAGCAGCGCACGCATCACTCATATGTACATATTATATATTGTCGCGTGTGCAGTTGTGACGCGTTTAAGCCTTCGCCGAGTTACAATACAACTTTCATGCTCGTCGGAAAGAGCTGCGCACACATCACACATGCACGCACACGCACACACACGCACGCATCACACACACGCACGCATCACACACACGCACGCATCACTCACACGCACGCATCACACACACGCACGCATCACACACACGCACGCATCACACACACGCACGCATCACTCACACGCACGCATCACACACACGCACGCATCACACACACGCACGCATCACACACACGCACGCATCACTCACACGCACGCATCACACACACGCACGCATCACACACACGCACGCATCACTCACACGCACGCATCACACACACGCACGCATCACACACACGCACGCATCACACACACGCACGCATCACTCACACGCACGCATCACACACACGCACGCATCACACACACGCACGCATCACACACACGCACACGCACACACACACGCATCACACACACACACGCATCACACATACGCACGCGTCACACAGACGCACGCATCACACACACGCATCACACACACGCACGCATCACTCACACGCACGCATCACTCACGCACGCATCACACACACGCACGCATCACACACACGCACGCATCACACACACGCACGCAAAACTCATACGCACACACACACACACACACACGCGACGCTTCTCTCTCATATCTTTTTTATAGGATTTTTCTATTTACATCCTTAAAAAATAATTTGTGTGTGATACTTCTGTTGTTATGTTCCCTAAAATATGGTCAAGAGCACCGATGACTGGTACATGCGTCATGCTCATGTGCGTTGCCAGTAAAGATGATTCTGCACTTCTGCGTGATTCATTTATCACTCATTCTTTTATTACTTTTCAGTATAAATTAAACGATTCGATTTGTTTCAAGGTGTTGCCTACTCGAGAGGTCCCGAATGATGGACCCTCTCGGGTTCGAATACCGTTACGGCAAATGTAAGTTTGATGAATACGAGCATTTGTACTAAAGTCATGGATGCTTGATATGTATTTCTATACAAAATTCTATCCGTTACCCTAGCATACTATACCACAAGCCTTCCAGTGCTTACTTTGGGGCTAGGCTAATTGGTGTGAGTGTTGAAAATAATTATTTATTAATTGTTAATTGGACGACCTCCTTGGCCGAATCGTTTGTGTGATGAATATGTATATCTATATAATGTATTTCTATGTATTTCTATATCAATATACTTATATATTTTTCAGCATATGTATTCTATCCGTTAAACCAGCAAACCATAACACAAGCCTTTCAGCCACTTACTTTGAGGCTAGGCTAATCCATGCGAGTGTTGAAAATATTTATTTATTAATTGTTATTTATACCAGGACTAATACTATACAAGCCACATTGTGGCCGGGACCAGCTGGCTTCAGAAAAAGAGGCAGACCTCAAACAAGATGGACAGACGATATCACACGTATAGCTCGTCGTCGAGACTGGGTTACAGTAGCACGAAACAGAAATGCATGGCAATCTCTGGAGGAGGCCTTCATCTGAGAGGGGTTATTGTCAAACTCATTTATTAATGAATATTTTATAATTTGTTAAAAGTTGTAACAAAATTGTCAAGAAATAAAAGGCTTTATTATTATTATTATATTTATACCTGTGGGTTGATCAGCGCCTTGGTCATGGCGGAGCGCATAAGGTCGCCCATGTTGTTGAACTCCATCAGCATCTGGACGTAGAACTCGCAGTCGTGCACCGCGATCCGGTACCCGTCCGACTTGGACTGCGCCCCCGACCCGGCGCTCATGTTGTCACTGCGGATTCAACAAAATTATATATATAAACCAGCTGACCCAGCGAACTTCGTACCGCCATAAAATGGGCCCAGGTGGTAGAAGAGAAAATTTAGGATTGTAGGTATTTTTAATACCACATTATAAAACAAAAAAATTTAGGGGTATGTAAAGCAGTGTTCTATAAATTTCCTGGGATAACATTCCTCCTAACCCATATGAGAACACTACGCTACGTTACAATACCCAATAGTATGAATTTTGAATGCGCGAAGGCGCATTGTAGGTTTCAAAACACTACGTTACTATCTATAGGTATCACTTAAGGATATGAAAAATAGATAGTAGCCGATTCTCAGACCCACGGAATATAGATATAAAAATTCATAAAAATCGGTCAGGCCGTTTCGGAGGAGTATGGTAACTAACATTGTGACACGAGAATTTTATATATAAGATAAGAATATAGTACAAAACTATACACAGGTACCTATAAATTAAGGAGCTCAATCCAGTGATTAGGACCCGAATCAATTAAATGTTACGCGATGGCTGATTTTTGAGTATCATTATTTCTGACTGCTTTATGTGATCTTTCATTCGGCACGCTATTGTCCGCTTCATTTGGCCAATATACGAACTACCACAGCTGCAGTCGATCTTGTATACACCAAGTTTCTCTAAGGGGAAGTTGTCTTTGGGAGACCGTAGAATCTGTGACACTTTTTGTAAAAGAGAGTAGACAGTATTCAGTGTGTACTTAATAAGTATGTTCGAGACCTTGTCTGTCACTCCTTTGATATATGGCAAAAATAGAAAAAACGAATTATGCACTTAACTTAAAGATGCTTTCATCAACAAACCAGTAGCTACTATAGTTACTTAAATAAGTTGACCCCCATTCCTATGATACACAACAGTAACCAGACCTGTGGCAATATACAAGTTTGATCTCTACCCAACAAACAAAGGTTTCAGATATGATAACAGCAATTTCGCTGACACTACAGAGGTCGAAGACCTCAATTAACATATCTTATTTTTAGAATGAAATAACATAGCCACTAGCCTAGATTGCAAATGGCTCTTCAGCAGAATTTTATTAAATAGCGTCATACAGTATTTTTTTTTCTTTATTTATTTAGAGGCTTTCATTCTACGAATATGCCAACCTCATCGTACCCTTACCAAAACATACACAACTAATTTAATTTAAAACTTTGTAGAGGGCGAGCTATTCTTACTAGCGAAAACCATATCAAACATCGACTTTGCTGCATCTGGGTTTGGTAAGAAATAACAATATTGTGTATCGTAGGTCTATTAATAGTACTCAATATGAGCTTATTGCATTCTTGTTTATATAATAGTGTAAATAAAAATAGACGCACCTTGCAAGTCAAATGAAACACCGCACGCGAACACTTGTACGGTAAAAATAAATAAACCAATCACTGGTGTTACATAAGTAACAGCATTTTAAGCCCTATTTCTTTGACCTTAATGACAATTTATTGAATCATAATAACTTCTAAGTATCTGAAAGAGAGGGGCTAATTTGACGGGCTTTAAAGTATAGTAATACTTTTATCAAAATTATCATTAAATTTATAAATTGTTTTATTTTAACTAGCAAGAATTTAACTCAGCTAAGGATACCGTAGGTGGGCAAAAAATTTTTTCAGTTTATATTAAGATATTTCTCTAAATGGAATCTGGAATAAACCATTTGGCAAATGTTCAAAAAAAATATTATATGTATTTAGGTTGAGAAAGAACTTTATAGCCGAAGGATAAGTGTTGCCATTTCGACGGTATCCTGACGTAGACAACCTTCTTTCTTAGCTTGAACTGTTTGAACACGGATGAATAAACAATCACATTAGTAGGTAGGTATTTTGTATTTCATTATTTGTGCAATAAATAAAATGGCGAGTTTTTTATAACAGTAATCATCATCATCATCAGCCTATTAATGTCCCCACTGCTGGGGCACAGGCCTCTCCTATGGATGAAATAGGAAGATTGGGCCATGACCCCAGTGCGGATTAACGGATGCTAACGACTGCAGATGCAGCTGGGACCAACGGCTTAACGTGCCTTCCGAAGCACGGAGGAACTCGAGATAGAAGATTTTCATCCAACGACCGACCATTGCGAAAGTTGCTTAACTTCAACGATCGCAGCCGAACGCGCTAGCCACCTGCGCCATCGAGCACCTCATAACAGTAACATATGCAAACTTTATTCACTTATAACAGCTATGACGTAAGACGTTATTGTATGGAATAGATAACATGTTACGTTTAAAGCAACTGTCATATAAGTCATGTTGGTTGAAGCGAGATGGTGTGTTAGCTACGTCTTTCTTCAACACTAGCAATTACATCGCTATTAGATTTTATGATACGGCTGTTAATAATCTAAAGTTAACCGTCTTTAACGGGTCGTTAATATTACTCCGAATAATATGTAGGTTAAATCCACCTGCTCTTGCTGCTGGCTCGCAATCCATTTAGTTAGCGACGTTTTAATAGGTTTCATATGCCATTGTGCTCGTTGGTTAACGCCCAGAACACAGAATTAGGTTAGGTTAGGAAGGTCGTTCATGGACCGTTTGTATGGGAACTGATGTCAATGGCTCGCCCCCACTACATTGGAAGTGTTATTATTACCTAACAGATAATAAGCCAATCAAACGACGCGACATCAAACAAACGAACGAATCAGAACCCAGAATTTTACGCAAGTTTTGACAGTCGATGAAATGTTATCGATATTAAATATGTCAAGAGCGAATTGTGGAACTCTTTACCTCTAGACATCAAACGTGCACAGACGAGGGACTCCTTTACCATTAAAATTAAGGAATATTTCATCAAGCTGGACTCTGCCTGATCTTTTTCTTTTTATCTGTTAGTTACTTTGTATTATATTTTATAGCTTCCTTATATATTTACTATTTTTATATTCTTATATTTACGTCTATTTTATTTTATTTTTAAAATGCACTAGCCCGCAGTTTCTTCTTTTTCATGGTATGATTTCATTTAGCCAAAGGTTGCCTGGTAGAGATTGCTACCTTAGCAATAAGGCCGCCTTTTGTGTTTGTGTTCCTTGAGTTTTATGTTGTATATATTTTGTTAAATAGTGCAATAAAGAATATTCATTCATTCATATTCATTCATTGGACTTCGTGCAATGACCTTTTTTTTTTATAGGTAGGTCCGACAAATGACTCCACCACGAAGGTGAAGTCCAGACGCTAAGATGGCTGATACAGCAGTTCTACCTGCCACACCAGCCATCCTCACCCTGCCGGCCTGCATGTTGCTTCTTCACGCCTCTTTTAAAGGATCCCAGGTTGTAAGAGGGGCAGAGCATTCCATTTACGGATAGTACGACAAAGAAATGAGTCACCAAATTTCATTGTACGCGTTGGAATTGTAGCCACAGTTAGACGGTGACAACGTAAGCCAGCGCGCGTGGTCCTCTGAAGGAAATGGGAAGGTGGAATAAGAGAGAATAACTCCTCAGAACACTTGCCGTGGAACAGACGATAGAACGCGCTTAGTGACGCCACGTCATGGCGTAATTGAAGAGGCTCGAGGTGTTTAGTCACCTCCTCATCGCCTATGTAAGCTATCCAAAGCATCGAGCAAGTACTTGGCGGAGCCATCCCAGAGGTGCGAGCAATATTCCACGCAGGACCGCACTTGCGTTTTGTACAATAAGCACAGTTGATCGGGCGTGAAAAAACACCGCACCTTGTTCAGGACTCCGAGTTTGTGTGAAGCTGTTTTGATCACTGTTTCGATGTAGTCCTTTGAATTCAGGTCTGAGCGAACTTCCATACCGAGCATGGAAATGTTGCTCTGTAACGGTAGTGTTGTGCCCTGAAGAGAGGGAAGGGGAAGGAATGGCCTTAGACAGCGTGCAGCGCTCTGTGATCAACGCGTTACTCTCTCTCTTGTATCATAATAGTACAGTTCGTATTTTTAATATAGTATAGAAAGAATCGCGTGCTTACGTTGTCAGCAATGAATATTTTTATTGAAACTAATATGTGATTTATCGTTTAGTTAATAATTAACGAGTTTTGGTTGAAATATTGATAAAAATAAGACTTTTTATACTGACTGATGAAAGCAAATTCCTCCTTTAGCCAGATTTGATACCTGACTTAACTCGTATAAATTATTACAGCATAAAAAGGGATATTTTAGCGGTTAGCATAATACTCTCTCAGTGAGGGTTCGTGAACGACTGAACGACGCGATCGCTTGTTTTTGTCGAGTTATAAGCATTTGCTCATAACTGTGGCGCGCCTGCCCCGCCCACAAGGCGCTTCTAACTTCCTCCAATGTTCTGTGGTTATCACGTAACTCGAGCATTTTGCATCATTCTTTAAAGCATGCTTTGTATTCAACCATGATTATCCTTAAACAGACGACCATATCATTTGCATAATAATATGTATTTAAGTTTAATTTTAGTGCTTAGAGTGGATGATAATATTCGTTTAGTGTTTATTAATTCCAGGAGATTTTCTTTCCGTTAAGACGATAATAACAGGTTGGCAAATTATTATGATCTTAAATCTAAACGCATCTGCCTAAAGTGCACTCGTAATATCAAGCAATTTCATTATTCCATCTTAGCGTATTGAATTTGGCACTATTTTAAACTTACTCCCAAAGGTATGTTTATGCAAACGACGCCCTATTTGGCATTGATTAGACTCCTCAAACGTTTCCTATGAACAATAGTGACAGGTTGCCCGATAATCGCGTCCTATTATCCGTAGGTTTTTATTATCTGCATGGAAGGTTAATAGCTGCCACATTCAGTGATTTTATTTCAGCCCTGGTCTAGCGTGGGAGTCTCAAGAGATTTAACATTTTAAATAGAGCAGCATAATAAGTATTTGCCTACCAAGCTTTTATATGAGAGCAGTTATGAAAGTTAAAGTTATTTATATATTCCAGAACCAATAGGGATGATGACTATTTTTTTTCTTCGTTTATCAGGTAGACTATCAAAAAGTATTGAACACGTATTTTTTCTTTTTTCACATAATATAAACATTGCAGAGATATATTGATTTGAAAAGTCGCATGACGTCACGTTTTGGTACAATTTTCACTTCAAGAGCCCCTACTCCCGAACTTTGACGCGCTTTTTATCTTTATCATTTTTTGGTCGATTGCCCAAAGAAAAAAATACGTGTCCATTATCTTTTGATCATCTAACTGACGGACTTAATAGAATTTCGTTTACTGTACCCCGTCATCATGCCTATTCCTCGTGCTTCTTTCTTCCCTTTTATGCCCCGTAAATCTGAATAGAAAACTACTCCACAAGAGTATGAATAGTTAAAATTCTGATATAATGACCATTCATTCTCAACCGTAGCGAAAGCCTGTGCTCCAGCAGTGGGGACAGTAGTATGTAAACAACTGCATAGCTATAACCACAGAACACAGAAAGAGGTTAGTAGGGCCTTGTGGGCGGGGCAGGCGCGCCACAGTTGTGTGTGGTCATAACTTGATCAAAACTTGGTTCTGATTGGGTCGTTGCTCTTGGTGTGAGCGCTGACTGGTTCGTTTGTTTGATGTCACGTCATTTGATACGCTATTATCTATTAGGTGGAAGTGTAGTGGGGTCGAGCCGGCGACATCGGTTCCCGTACAAACGGTCTATGATAACCATTCTAACCTCTTTTGTGTTCTGTGGCTGTAACCTTAGGGCGTCCGCTGCTTTAAGCGGGTACACGGCGGGGACGTTTCTTGCAGCGCCGCTAGTACACTTTACGATCGCGCGGATGAACAATCGACAATGGATTATTTTTGTTGTTAAAAGAACCGAGCTTAAAGACGACGCAGATAAGAGCAGAGTACCCTTAGCACGAACCAATATCGAATTCGTAACGTTTGCGAGTTCGAAATATCATTGTCAAATTTAGTATGGAAACTTGTACAGAAGCGTTACAACGAACGTAACGAGAACTAAAATTTGTATATCTAGATCGAATTCAATTGTAAGTATACGATTTTGTTTTGTGCTAAGGGTATGGGGGGGCCATTCGCCTAACGGAAATGCTTTGGAAAACGCTAACGCTTTCGATTTTATTTTGTTATTTCTGACCGCCGAAGGTTTTCGAATAACCCCCTTATTTTTTTTTAATATTATTATTACCAATGTCAAAGAAAAAAAAAGAGAGCGAGGCATTTGAAAACCTCAGGCGGCTAAAAATAACAAAATGAAATCGTAAGCGTTAGCGTTTTCCAAAGCATTTCCGTTAGGCGAATGGCCCCCAGGAGACAGCAAATCGAGCGTGCCCAGTCTCCACCACCCGCGCCGCGTATAACGGAAGATGAACATTAACAGCACCCGGAGCGGGCGTCAGCGTCGTGCACCCGCTGAAATGTCTGTCCACATAAGCACGTCACGACGTCGTTATGACGTCGTCAATGGTAACGTTGCACGGTGCATTGAGAAAACGTGCAAATTTACGAACAGGTTTTCACGTCACCGCACCGTTCCACGTCGACGACGTCGTGACGAGGAGATGTGGACAGACACTAAAGCAGCGGACGCTCAAGGCACGATCCACTCACCTGTTTTCCCGGAAGTGCTGCAGCAGACGCAGGATGAGGCGCGGCATCATGGCCTCGGCGACGCACATCAGCTCCGCCGGCGCGGTGCCAGGCCGAGGACATTTGTTGCCGTGGTTGCTGCAGAACCTGGAAACGATAAAGACAATGTTATCATTATCTATGCACCTATATACTATAGTCTGTCCATTCATTTATTACCTTTTTGACAGATCGACGCCCATGATATTTTGTATTGTTTACGTTTAAATGACATACAAAAAAATTATGTACTTCATGGACGGGTACCGCCCACTTAGTGATGTGCCACACCAATGATTACTAAGATTGTGCCACAGATTATAAATAATCGGTAGAAATAAATAAGTACAACCAAATTGTAAAGTAGAAACCAAGTAATTAAAATATTAACATTATATAAAGTTCATTTTATAAATTTCTTCGTAGTTTATTTTAAATTTATTCAGACGTATCAGATTCTTCATAAAAACTGGTCTCATCGTCGGATGTCGATTAAACAATGTTCTAGCATAAAATGGATTATAGATTTCAATCGAACGAGTTATGTGATAGGGTGTCACTATTTTAACTTCGATCGATCTGTCAAAAAGATAATAAATGAATGAACAGACTATAATTCAACAATTTTTATAATTGTGAAAGATTGTGTGTTGTAATTCAAGCACTCAAAAAATACTGCACGGATTTGGATGAAATGTGATACGCATATAGTTTATGATGACGTAAAAGTGTTAGGTTCCTGTAGGATTCTCAAAAAGGAACAGTTAGCGAGGACTAAGTCGCAAGCGGCCACTAATATTATTAAAAATGTCGAAACAGCACTGTCTCTTGCTTAACATTTTTTTTATGCAGACAGAACAGAAATGGTAGAGCCCAGCTAGTTTTAATTTACCAGAGTTATTCAAATAACTCCACCGTACCTGTTGTAATGTGGGAAAACATTATAGTCAGAAATAAGTCGACCTGATCTTCCAAGGTGAGCTCTAACCCTCGACTTTGTGGAGACTGCCATATTTCCACAGGAAAACGGCATTAGAGACAGTGATGTAATGTGATTTGACTCACAGACAACCATAAAGGCGCTTCAGCCTGGGACATGATATAACTTTCTTGTGTAAGATTTTGAATGGTATATTTGATGATCCTATGCTCCTCAGTAAGTTTCGCTTTAGGATACCATCGCGGTTGCCACGTTATCCGGCATCACTCTTGACCCACAAAACGTACCGTAGCAATTTAGGTCACCATTCACTCATCCCTAGGTTAAGTAGATTAATTGGTGAGCTTGTGAAGAAGGATCATACTATTGATATTTTTCATGATAAAATACCAACTTTAAAAAATAAAATATTTAGAATACTGGGAAAGTAGATACTTAACTGTTTAATATTATTGTTAATAAAATTAGTTTGCCAATAATGGGTCTGGTACGTAAGGGGTTCTCTGAACTTACGACCATATTAGGCAGTGTTCTCCCCTTTTAAATAATTATAGAGCATGATAGACTGTCGTGATTGTTCTGTGATTGGGCAAATATTTGTGTTGTGTAGTAAATTCCGTATGTAGAATATGTAAAAAGAAAAACTGTTTACTGTTTAGCGCATGATGAGGCCATCTTTAAGTACAGTTATATTATATCCTAATACGTAAGCATATGTGTAAGTTTGTTTGTATTAATATAGCTGTGTTGATGGTCCATAAATAAATAAATAAATTTGTGTGTGCAATAAAAAAAAACATATTTAAATGATACAAAAAAAATGATTGCCCAAAAATACAATTGGCTAACCAAACGTAACCTAAGCAATATATTGTTTTAAACTTTCATGGTCACTAACATTATAGTAATATGTTATTTACGGAAACGCTAAAAACAAGGTATATGGTAACAATCCCGTAAATAACTTATATTACTAGCCTAAGCAGTTTAGTTTCATCATCATCATCATCAGCCTATTAACGTCCCCACTGCTGGGGCACAGGCATTCCCTATGGATGGAATAGGGAGATTGGGCCATGACCCACCACGCGGGCCCAGTGCGGATTGGTGGGTGCTAACGACTGCAGATGCAGCCGGGACCAACGGCTTAACGTGCCTTCCAAAGCACGGCGGAGCTCGAGATAGTAATTTATGGTCACCCATCCAATGACCGACCACTGCGAAAGTTGCTTAAGCTCAACTATCGCAGCCGAACGCGCTAACCACTTGCGCCATCGAACTCCTCTTAGCAGTTAGTTTACCAATGTATTTTGTTGAAATGATTATGTACTTTTTTTGTATCATTAAAATATTTTACCCACTGATGGTGTAAAGCAGAAAACTATGAATCCAGTGATATTCAGATGTGTTGAGCCTTTTCATACTAAGCCATAGACAAATCTTTGTCGTAGTAATCGGAGAAGTTTCTCTAGTTCAATCGATCATCGCTGAAAAGCGGCAGATGTCAGCTGTTGATATCACATACGTACGTATGTAGGTAGCCCCTGCTAGGTGATGCGTCATCATTACGAGCTGATTTAACTGTGGCAATGGGTGAGAATACGCGGCCACTGCCATGTGCACTTATTATTATTCCGCGCAAATACTCAATGCATTCGCCCGGTGAAATCTTCTCACACTCCTATGATATTCTACTTATTAGCACATACAAAGTGCATGTTAATCTATATTTACAATATCTACACACCTACAACTTAATGAAAAAAAAAATTGTGTGTGTCAGCTCCGACGCACGACCGGAGTTTACACTCTAAAAATGATTGTCTTTGAGCAGACACAAAACAAAATTAAGTCCGAAGAAGTCGGTTACAAGTAGAGATACCTCAGGAATCGTCTCATGGTTTCGACTATCATAGGTTCCATGTCACACATTTTATCATCTAACATCAGCGATATTCATCATATATTTTATTATGTATTTCTAGACAATTTCAAAAATATCGCACACTTGTCCTCATTTTGTAAATATGTATTATAATTCCATCTGTACTGAAAATCACTATTCCAGAGTGCTGGACACTTACCGGCACTTCTCTATATTCTGTTATTTATTTGTTTTCATTAATTTTGCTTTTGCCGATTTTATCTATTTTTAGTTTATTTATTTTATTGACATTTGTGACAACTTAATGTTTTTTATCCGTTGCCATGGCTTAAAGTGAAAGGTGCGCAGATGAGGTTGCGCACAAAAACGTAACGAGGTCATTAATGTCATTCATCGATAGATTTTACTCCTCACATTTTTCTCATACCGGGCCCCTTATATATACAAATCGATTCTTAAGGAGTAAACTCCAAAAAAAATACTTTGCAGCTAACTGTATAACCAGAACACATGAAATATAGATAACATCCGAGTACTTATCCGTGGTTATAACAATATTATGTTAGCAGTAGCAGAACCGTTTGCCTTAGCAATAAGAATTATATACCTAGTGCAAGTGTCAGTGTTTACTTGTGTCACCGCCGCGCCGTCATGGGTTCAAGTCCGTCACAGACGTAGCTATAATAATATAATATATATTAACTAGCTGTCCCAGCGAACTTCGTACCGCCATAAAAAAATAGGGGTTGGTGGTAGAAGGGAGAAAATTTAGGGTTGTATCTATTTTTGTATGATGTATCAAAAAAAAAAAACAAAAAATATTGTAAAAAAAACCCCTTAACATTTAGGGGGATGAAAAATAGATGTCCGATTCTCAGACCTACTGAATATGCAATTTTATATACATATTAAGATATTTCGAAATATATATTATATTATAGCAAACTACCACAGACGGGAGCTATACTATAATATAAATTTTGCCCTTACTCGGTCTGCGGTCGTACTGTACCTTAATATACCGGAATATATCTGTCGACATATTTTGGTGACGTCATAGAAATATATATGAAAGCTGCGTGTGCGGTCACTCGAAAATTTATATTGAAAATATGTTGTAATATGTCTTGCTGTGATTCATATTAATATATACTAGCAAACCAGTGAACCAAAAGTTCACCAAAAAAAAATGTATTTAATTAATTGAGAACTTCGGAGATTTTGTGTGGTTTCGTTTGAAATTCGTGATTTCTCGAAAACCGGAAGTGCTACGTTACTTAAATCCGGTTCGTAGTCTTATCAGACTATTCTTAACTTATAACTTAAACATTCTCTTTATCTATCTCTTACGGTTTGGCCGCTGAAACAGCACCACAGACGGACGGACGGACTTGTCTAATAGATAAGAGATTATAGCTACGTCTGTGACGGGCTTTAAAAGTTCCCTATATCTGCTGTAGATCAAGTCTATTTTAATTTATGAACATTGATAATTGACAAGCCAACATATGATTTGCATATCTTAATTGGAGATGGAAGACTCAATCTATCGACTGCCCGCTTATTAACCAGAGCATAAAATAATAGCTACACTCGCTGCGGGCGTTTGGTCCGCCGCCGGTGACGTCACCGAGTCAAGGGCACCGGTGCCAAGTTCCACTCTGTTCGACCCATTAGGAACGGAAGCATGCATCTCTTTCGCACTAAAAACAACCACTGGGGCATCCTCCTCTATATTTAGACGCAACACGAGATTTGGACAAAGATAAGTCATTACCTGTTTCGACTGTCGCTGAATTGCCACTTCGAACACTGCTAATCTAAATTCTTTAACCGCCTACTTACTATAAACGTTTCATCTACAAAGAGTGACATGTGTAAAAGAATCTACAGGTATTTAGTTATTCTTGTTCACTGATTCTTGGATGAATCATCGGCGCCAAATGTGCGTAAATTTGCAAACAATACATTTAAAACTAAATCCTATAGTTGACAGTTAACTTATGCTTTATATTTGGAATTTTACTCAAATGTATGAAGATCCCAGATCTTAGACTTAGCAATATTTTTAATACATATATACATAAAATTATAGTTATGTAAATCATTGAAATGCAAAACATTCTTTGCGTTTATCACCAAATCCTATATTATCTAGCCAGCTCAACTCAATCGCAGATAATGATCCCACTCAAGACAAAGCTTTATATAACCAAAGCGTGGCTCCCATAAAAACTGAGAGCAAAGACAGACAGCACCTATATGTAATTGGTCACTCAACCC